ACTTGTAAATCAGATATTGGCAGTGTGCATTCTGTATGGAGGGTTGGACAGTCAGGCAACTGATGAAACTGTTCAAGCAAAAGAATCAAAATTATATGGTGAGTGAAAATCAGTAACAGAGTAGTTATCTTCCTATGAATATGATAATAAAAGTGGAAACAGCAGTCTTTTTTCCTGAAGACAGCTAAAAAACAAAGTGCAATGAAATAGAATTAAAATGGGTTTTGTTTGTAATAGGAGTCTACAGATATTGTAATTTTTATTTAATGCAGTCTCTTCTTTAAAAGATCTGACTTATGTAATGACTTTTGCCTGGATAACACCACCTGATGACCACCAAACCGCTCACCAGAACTCCATACTAATTCAGTGCTGCGGTAAAGTACTGTCGGCTTTCTAACCCGTCATTAGGGTTGATGAGTTTTATTCCTGCATTTCAGCGACACTGTCATCAAGTAATTGCAAAGACATAAATAAAGAATCAGGAAAAAATAATACACGTAACGGTCTTAAAAACACAAGAGTACGTGAAATTGATAAACAGTATAGATTCTCATGGATTTGGGAATTTGTTTTAAATTTATTTGTTGATTTTCATTAAGGACTCCTTCCTCTGCTTGACATTCTTAAACTTCATTACGTGAGACAAACTTCCTGGAAAGTCAGAGTAAAATTATTTAAGAACAAACAAATCCAGGTTGGCCAGAAACTTAGTTTGGTGTTCTGTATGTTTGTTGAGAACATCTTTTTACCTGTTCCTTATTTCGCATCATAAACTGTCATCTATATATCTTAGGAAGATACATAATTTGCTGTGGTCTCTAGAATTGATTAGAGTTTCACCAGGAAAAGTATTTTGCGTGCTGGAATCTGGATAGTTACTGCACATTGCATCTCTTTCTTAAAGAAATGTTCATATCAAAAGCTGGGAAGAATCGTCAAAAGTAACAGATGCAGCTGTAAATGTAAAGCAACTGTTGCCTTGCTTTGCAAGCAGTCATTTTGAACACTGGAACTAACTGAATAATGTTAACTTGTTCTAAAGGGGCTGAAAAGTCATCACACTCTAGATCTTGTACATATTTAAGGACAGGAGGCTGATAATTCTTCTCTCATCAGAAGCACGTGTTGGTGATGCTGTTGCTGAAAAATAGGACATCAAAAGCCCTCAAAAGTTACTGAAAGGTTTCATTCATGTTGTCTATTTTGTCTGGGCCAACAGCATCTTTTGGGTGTTCCTGCCTGAGATATATTTTGACTCCAGACTCTGTGCCTTTCAGAAGTGTGATTGATTGCATCCTCCCATGCATTCAACTTGTGCTCTCCTTATCAATTTCTGCCAGTCCTCTGAGACAAATTGTTGCCCTCCGTTGGGCATCTTACTGTCACAAAAATGAGTTGAGCACTGATTTTTCATAGAGAGAACCCCAGCTTGCCAAATCAGAGAGGGAAGTCAAGATTGAAGTCATGTTCCAAGATGACATCCTAACTTTTTTGACTTAATGGGGGAAGGTGCTGGATATCAAGCTTGATATATGCTTCCAATTACATGTGCAGATAAACCTCCAACAGTTAGTAACTGGAAAATCTCCTAAACCAGACTTCAGGCCTTTCACTAATGTAATAATTGTAAAAGAAATATTGTATCCATTATGTAGGACTTTTTATCAGTCTAGAGTTACGAGAATTTCAAAGAAAATTTATGTAAGGCAAGTGCTCACCAAACTTCATGCTTCACTTTTAGACTCTGTACTCAGTGAAAGGAAACTTCAGGGGCACAGTTCAAATAACCTATCTGAGATGTCTAATGTAGGATAAAATGACTTAAGAGCTAGAAGTATCTGTTCCTCTCCAATGAGTATAAAGAGAGCCAGATGACTACTTCATATTTCAGCATTATAGATAGCAAAATTTAGTCAAGATTAAGGATATCTATTGTCAACCTTGAAGTTCTGAAAGAAGGGGAAATAATAATTACAAAGCAGCTTGCAAATACCTGTGATTTCTTTGACTGTGGAGGAAAAGAAGAGATGACCACAAACAATCAGAGAATTGTTAAGGTTAGAAAAGACCTCTGAAATCACCTAGTCCAACTGTCCACCTACCACCAATATTTTTTGCATTAAATCATGTCCCTAAGACACAGCTTGGAATATTTCATAGGTATCTAAAATCATATATAACATAGAAAATTTTGCAGTGCATTTTATCTGCAGTCTGATCTAAAATCAGTGATCAGAAAACTACTGTAAGCAGAAAGAATCATGGAATCATAGAATCGCCAAGGTTGGAAGAGATCTTCAAATCATCCAATCCAACCATCCACCTACCACCACCATTTCCCACTAAAATCATGTCCTTTGGTACATCTAAATGTTTCTTGAACACCTCCAAGAACAGGTTTCCACTAGTTGCAAGAAATGGAGTTGATGATTTAGGCAGCTTTTTCAGGATCCTTTTCAGGCCTTGTCAAGTTTTAATACACAAAAGGAAAGGGTATGCCTGTATGCTGCTAAATAAGAGTACCAACAAGCCAGTTTCAGCAATGGAGCCATGATTCTCCTGCTTAACTGTTGTCTTGCTCCTGGGCTATCTGTTTCCAACAGGCTCCAGACAGAAACAGCCTTAAGCACTGAGGCTTGGCTGAAAACTCACTCTAATTTAGCATTTGGATGCAGCCGAAGAGTCTAAATATGAAATAAAGTGGTGCTACTAACAAATGGCACTGCATATATCATCATTTCACCTGCATCGTGTACTTGCAGTATCTTATTTGAACTGTGTTGGTCTTCCGAGCAACCAGCAAATAAGGACAGTGAACTACATATAAGCTTAAATAACAAAAGGAGTTGGATCAAGATCAGTCTTTTAATCCATATCATTCCTGCTGCTATGGAACATGCTAAAGGATCTCTGCTGTGATTCATGGAGATTTGAGCTGAACCTTTTTAGAACTGGGACTTCAGATGATAAAAGGAACTCCTTATATGATCGTAATCAAGATATTGTTTGTGTGCAAATACCAGTTGAGTATTCAGCTTGTGTTTTCTCCTTTCATCTTTATATGGAGGTTGCTCACTTCTCATGTCCCTCTTTTTCCCATTTTGCTGCACTAACGAGTTTTTAATGCAAAGGAAAAGTCATTATAAGCAGTGAAGCAAAGACAGCTTTATAGAACAAGACTGAGGAACTGAAGACGTAGATCAGAGCTATCCACCAGCCTAAGATAAAAGAGAGGTTCATGAAAACAGAGACATGTAGATAGCTTTGATTTCATTATCATTAGACAAGAAAGGAGAAAAACTGGAATAGCTGTTCATTTCTAGTTAGTTTCCTATATCAATAAAAGACTCTGAAGAAAGCAGTAAATTTATCACATAAATCAGGAAAATATCCTGTAGGAAAATGTTGGCTCATCTTTGTTTTTATGTAGTGTAACGTGATTAGCAGATTGTAATCATGTAAAAAATACAAATGTTTTCTATTTTATTCATTGATGCCAAGTTTGTGTTTCATCACTAAGCATGGATTTTTTATTTGGGCCTTTCTCCCTGTTTCTTTTTGAACACAAATTCTGAGGATTGTATTTGTGTTACTGATTCCATAGTTATCAATTCTTGAATTACAGATAAATTAAATAGTTTTGCTGGTTTTTATAGGAAGCTTTTGTTTGGAAGCTACGTGTATGTACTTGTAATATTCACAACAAAAATATCTAATTACATTTGAAAAGTTATTGACTAGACAAAGAATGATTGTATTCAATATTTTTTGTTGATTGCCTCCAGAAAGTTAATATAAAATTATTAGCAGCTGGGAATGGGGAGGAGTGCTAAATATTCTTGTTCTGAAAAATAACAAAATTGTTCCCTCAAGGGACAATCCTAAAATTTCGTCTCAATTTTGTTCCTACTTTTTTTTTTTTTTTTTTTTTTTTTAAATTAAATATAAATTAAGTAAAACAGTACAGCAGAACTACTTTCCAGGAAATATCCTATCATCATAGAAGCTATAAAACAGTGTGATTAGTGGACAGTATCTTGTAATTTTTGACTCATTAGTGTTTTCTTTCAAAATCAAAAAATAGCTGATTAGCTGTAGCTAACTTTGAAATTCCTTTGAGATCTGAAACGTAGAAGTCCTTCCAGCACCATCCAGTCTACTTATAATGTAGCCAACCTTGCAGCTTTCTCAAATGCAGCACTCTGCCCATTTACGAGATTAGGAAACTAAGAAAGGCATGTTAAGTGTGTTGCCTAGAGGGACAGGAAAAATCCGTGTCAGATGGGAACAAGATTTCAGAGTACTGCTTAGATCAGTGTCATGTCTTCAGCTGATAGATTTCTCGTCCAGCACAATCCAGTTTGGTGCTCCACGTTTTGTAGTTTAATTTATTTTGACACTGAAACACAGCATAAGAATTGCATTAACATTCTTTGCCTTTTTGCTCTTCAACTGTCTGCTGCAAAGGTACTCTGTCATCTTCTTGCCCTGGGTTAATATAGTAAACAAGATGTATTTCAGCATGTGTATCAGTTAGTGATTTTTACATAAGTGCTATGAATTTCTTCTCTGATTTTGTATTGTGAAGTAAATTGGAAATCAGAAGGCAATGAATAATTAATCTTTCTTCAATTTGTGGGAAAAGTTTTAAGAAGTCTGTTTTTTACATAAAACTATTACCTCAGAAAATATTTAAACATTTGCACAAAGTCCATGACTGTACTGTATCAGATATCACTCAAATTATGTAAATGCCTTAGTTATCCACTATCACAGTGCTTTACATTGTAACTTGTACTGTTTTCAAGTTTTTAGGCTTGATTACATTGCCATTCGAAGCAGAGGGGATCCAAGTAGTATATAATTTAGATACTTTAACCTCTGTGTTGAAAAGAATGCTTCAATATACTGATTTTATGCTGGAATATCTGTACAATATCCCTTCCAAATTAACTTCCTTGTGTATTTAAGCAATTTTCTGATTTTGTTTTCTTTAGGTCAACGGAACAGAAATTGAATATGAATTTGAAGAAATTACATTGGAAAGGGTAAGCGTAACTTATTCTTCTCTTACAAGCAAAAGTAATCTATAATAAAAACAACAGGTGTTAAGGAAATGAAAAGTGTTTAAGAATAGAATCATTTACATTTTGAATGAAGATGCTCACGTCTAAAGTATGAAAATGTGAAAGATACAACAGAATAAGCCTCTCGTGTTTTTAAGATATTTCAGGTGCAGCTACTTGCAGAGGAGTATCCAGAATGCTCTTCTGGATTCTCAGTTAGGTTTTAGATCATTGAGAAGAGTCCATGTGACATGGAAACTTCCTTTTAGTTTGTGACCTGGAATTGTAGAAGCCTCTCTCTTTTAACCTCCTCGATTTCCTTTCATGCTAATAGAAGACATGAAGTCTTACTTTCTAAGATAAAAATTGCAAAAGTGTTTTTAAAGTCCCAATGACTACATAAAATCTGTAGACCATATCTGCACATAAAGAATATCTTTATGCAAGTCTGAATTGTGTGAAGTATAAACAGAGCATACAGCAAAGGCTTTGTTCATAGTGTTGCTTAAATGTAACACAAAATACATACATTTAAATACTGCATCATATCTGCCTAGTTTTGGTGTTTTTTCCTTGTCTTTTGGTTACGTGACTGTTTCCTTTACACTATCAACTTTCTCTGCCACAAAACCAGGACCAGATGGGCAGCATATTGTGTGAGCAAGAAAGTCTAAGCTTTGTCATGTATCGTAGTACTTACAGGGATTTCTAATGGATGCAAAATTGTCATTGCTGAATGCCTTCAGTATTCTACCAACATGCTGGTAATAGGAAGATTTATAATCTTGAAGCAAACACAGGATTCCTTCTGTGTAAAATGTTTGAATACAAGGTCAGATTTATCAAGATGTGACTGCTGCCATATGAGCAAATGCCTGTAAGGTAGCAAACTACCATTAAATTAGATGCTTGGATTATGCAATTCATTGCACTTTTTCTGCATGTTATATTTTTAATTGTCCAAGATAATGAATTTCATAACTATTCAACTCATAGGGATTCAAGATTATATTCTCATTGATTTGCTCACTCAGGCAAATTACAAAAGAGCAATATATCTCTTTACTACAGCCATCCTCATAACAGATAACATATAAGGTTATGGGCACTTTTTATCTGCTGTCTCTGAAGTTATTCATGCATCACTAGTTATTCATTGGGCTAGAGTTTCCAAAGGTCACTGAGCAGAACACATGCCTCCTGGGTGATACTTTGAAAACTGCTTTATTTTTAATAAATATGTTAGTTATCACTGTAAATACTGCAAAACCAATGTGATTTGCTCCTGCTGTACCTTTCTTATGCAGGTAATTTGTTATTCATCGTGTGATCTCATATAATATCAGTTAAAAACTGATAAACAACAGAAAACAAAACTGCAGATTTTAATGGAGGACATTTCAGTTGTTTTCTGGATGCAGCTGAATCTGTGGTTTCTGATTATTCCTGCTTGAAATGTTCTGTCACATGTATCAGTGTTTTGTCTCAAAGGCAGGGTACTGTGTCTGCTGCTTTTTGTATGAGGTATAAAACACGAGTGATTGCCTTTAAGTAGCTGTCATTTATGTTAGACGAACAGCACTTTCAGAAGAAAGACATTCTCCATGTTGATTACCCATTTTCTTCCAGAAAAATTCTTTTATAAATTAGATGGAAAATCATCTCTCTGTAATTTTAATAGCAAAGCTGCAAAATGTATTAAAGTTGCTGCTGTTGAGAAATAAAAATAGTAGCTTGCCTATATAAAAAAAGTTGGTAATAAACCTTCCATTTTAGTCCAGTTATCTGAGTTAAAGAACTCTGCATCCCAAAAATCATCAGACACTTTCTTCACTTTTATCCACATTTTGAAATAATCAGCATAATTGAAAGGATTTTACAGTGTTAAAGATAAACTGATTTATGGTGTGACTTTTGTAAGGCAGGGCAGTGATATCCACATATCACAGGGATCTGTGGGGTGTATTCCTGAAGAAAGTTAATGGCTTAGATGTGATTCTCACTCCAGGATGGCTCCATCTCTTGGGGTAACATAGAACAATTGCACTCATGTTGGCAGAATGTGTCCCATGTGAAGCTGGGGAGGAGCAGAGGGGTCTGAGAAATACTCAAAGGAAAAATTGCTTAGAGGCCAGGGAGGAAGTCATTGCAACTTTGCTGGACGTTGTCAAGCTGCCTGAGACCCAGCTGGGTTACCAAGGAATTACTTCATGAAAGCAGTGGGTCTTTGTAGAAAGCTTGTTTTATTTTTGCTCTCTTTGATATCATGTTGTTCAGTTGTTTCTATTTAAAATGCTGTGTGCTAGTTTATAGTTTAACAAGACTTGGGGTTTTGAGCTTAAAAGGCTTTATTGAGAGCTCAAAAAGAGGATGAATCTGGGGCAGATCGAACCTAAAGCTGTGGTAAGTTGCTGTCCCAGAAGTTACAGAAGCTGTAATTGTACTTCTCCCAGACTATCAATGACTTGCTTTTATCCTTTTACTCTTCTTACACTGTATCAACCACTCGTCAGGTATTCTCACAGATCCCTGAACCCATGAGGGTCATTTTAAAATATGAGTTCATTTAGAGCTCTCATAGAGGTCTACTTAGGTAAAACAAATACACAGTTAAAAGAATTCTAACAAATTTTCTTTTCTTTAAGGGAAAAAAAAAGATTTTATTTCCTTCAATTACTTCAGAGAATGTGTGAGTTTCTCTGCCAACTTGTGGGCATAAAATGCAGATCCAGGTGTAGATGAAGACTTGGTAGTTTGTAGTGGGTTACAATGCCCAAGTGCACACTTACAAAAGATACCTTGCAATAAGACATTACTTTATAATGAATATTAAAGACACCGTAAAAAGGAAATTCGACATAAAATGACTTGTATTCATGTAGTGATGTTAGTTTTCATTATTTTAGGGCTTGAAAAATGTATCCAGGTCAATCAAGAGACTGATTTGCACTAGTAAATAAATCAGTGTCAGGGTAAGGGATAACTGAATAGAATCTGTGACAAGCCAGCTAACTTCTCTGAGCGAGAAGACAGCTTTAATTGATTGACTCCTGGATAGAGTTCTGTGCTCTGAGGCACAGGCTGAAAAGAGGGTTTTCTTAGAAGTTAATGGAGTATCAGCCAATATCGATAGCTATCTCAAAGAACAGTGAAGAAGTGATTCTCCCACTGTATTTAGCAGTGATGTGGCCTCACCTTGAATATTGAATGCAGTTCTTGGATCCACAACATAAAAGCACCCAGTACTTGAAAGAACCCATTGAGGAGCAATAAAACTGGTAAAAGAGCAGGAGAGGGAGGGGGAGAGGAGAGGTTGAGAACACCTGGGGCACTTGAGTTGTCCAGTCTGGACATGAGGAAGCTAAGAGATCACCTCAGTGCTCCCTACAACTCCCTGAGAAGGGAAAACAGGGAGTTGCTGGCCTCTGCTCTGAAGACAAAGCACAAGGGAATGGCACAGAGCTGTACAAGGAGAGGTTCAGATTGAGCATTAGGAAACATTTAGGTTGTCAGACACTGGAGGCTTTCTTGGGTGGTTGATGCCCCAAGCCTATCAGAATTCAAGAGGCATTTGGATAATGCCCTTAATAATGCAGTTTAACTTTTGGTTAGCCCTGAACAAGTCAGGCAGTTGGACTAGATATCATTGTAGATCCCTTCCATCTGAACCATTCCATTCCATTCCATTCCATTCCATTCCATTCCACTCTAGTAAGAGTAAGAAAGACAGTGAGTTGGTTGTAGATTTATGTTGGATTTGTGTCAAGGTCAATGTCTGAGTTCAGATCTCAATACTTTTTGCTCACCTATTCTTTAGATGCTAAAGGAAAAAGTAGGCATTTATGATTACTAAAGCTATTTTCACATAATTATGTGATGTTTCAGCATTTATTTTTATTCTCTATCGACATACAAATAAGAATATATAAGTTGTTGTGGGGTAGACTGTTTTGAAAATCTGTTTCAGACCTAGTTTTTTATTTGATTGGCCTCTTCTTACCCTAAAACAAAATTCATACTGTACTATTAACTGTGCTGTTTTCATCAGTCATTTCCTTCGTAAAAATGTAACTGGCAAAGCATAAAGAGGTACCTTTTACTTAATGCTACAGGGAAGTGAGAACTGGATTTTCTTAAATGATGCAAGGATTTAATTTGACTCAGTGTCTTACTTTTATATCTCTTTGTCTTGTTTTGGCTGAGACCACTGCTTATATGTTTGGGAAAACAAGTTTTCACTATTACTTAGTAGTATATCTGCTTTCTACATCTTTTTGAGTTCTTAGTTATTGATTGTTCCTGCAGCATCATGCTTTGACCTCTCAAGAAAAAGATTATAAAACAATGCAGTGCCAGGAAAGGCATCCTTTATTTAGTTCAATAACAACAGAATGGAAGGAAGTGGTCAAGAAATGGTCCCTAGGAAAAGATATTTGCGACGTTTAAAACTGTATATCAAATAAGCATTTGATTTGAGATCTTAGAGAGCATGAATCAATATTCAACCCTCAGCAGCCTCGGTGGAATGGTCTGACAACTTCCAACAGGAGAAAGTAAATCTTGCAAAATAAGTGTCCCTCAGGTGCTTGCAGAGCTCTTTCCAAAAAAAGTGTTGCTCTTTTAATCCTTATTTCTGCAGAACTGTGGATGTTTTCTTCCCAGTTTAGAGCTTTCTGAGTGCCCTTATTACATTTTTTTCTTTGCTAACACCTTCCTATTTCCTTGCTCAGAATAAATGTTAGTTATTTTTGCAGCACTGAGAATAAAATAAATTGTGACTCAAAAGTAATTTTTTTTCTTATTGTCCAGTTTATATCAGAGTTATAGTAGAGCAGTGATCTAAGAGTATTCAGTGCAATCAAACTCTCTCCCAGGAATTTTTGCCAGTACGTTCTACTACAAGAAGAGAAAGCATCTATGAAGCTGTATCAGCAAACACAGAAATAGTTTCCCTCTCTCTAAAACAAAATATTCTGTAAAAT